ATAAATGCATTATAAAGCATTTTTATGAAGAACATTTGTTCGGAACACACTGTAACTGTAATCGAACGAAGGTGATATTTTGGCATAAATTGGTAACACTTATTTGACAGTTGCGGTGTTGACACTGGTACTTTATTATTCTGAATTTTAAAGTGAATACCTCTTGGTTTATATTTTTACCTATTTAATAAAATCTGTTTTGTTTAGAACAAAATTAGTGTGTATTATTAATTACTATTATTATTATTAGTGTGTGTAATATTAATTTTTGTTGTTGTATAATCGACTTTTGCAATAATTATGTGACCTATTTGATTTAAAATGGATTCAGGATTTTTTTGTACTTTGGCAACTATGTCAACTTCGATCTATGTCAATGATAATGATGTGCGACGGTAAGTCAGTTAGATGAAGTATAAATAAATATTTAACCCTGAATCACTCGCCCCCTAAAAATTTATGCGAGCGAAAGTTTTGTTTAAGTACTAGTTTTTCTTTTTAAATAGAACTAAAGCACTGCCAATAATAAAAAATATATTGTATAGTACAAGTTAAAAAAAAAGTTTATTTTAGTGTTGTGTGTAAAACGTGAGGTCGCTGGTTAAATGAATTAGAATAATAACAACGAAAAAATTCAATATTTTGTTTGTTAATAAATTAGCAATTAACATCACCTGGCTTAACTCATTGCTGTTATCTGTACAAAGGAAAAAACTCTTACTTATGAAGTATGGTGTATAATTTGTAGCAAGCAGTAGAAGAGTAGCATCTGCGTCGAAAGTCGCGATGCAAGGTATCCACTGGTCAAGCTAGAAGTGATGTTCACATCACGATGACTCGTCTTAAAGTAATCTTTAAACAGGAAGCGGGCCCTCATAATTTAGCGCTCTTGTAATGCCCTTCTGAGACGATAATGTAACTAAATGGTTTACAGGAATTTGATATTGTGTAACGTTTTCTGTGATTTGTGAGGCTGTTTCCAAATAACAAAGACAAGTGAATTTCTCTGAACTTATACACAGATTACAATGTATTAGCCAGGTAAAAAATAAGAATTTACCGAATCTAAGAAAATAATATATTGTAATCATTTAAAGTACATAAGTAATTAGAATATATAATTATAATTATAAGAAGATCATATTACAATACAGTAATTAAAATATTGAGTGTGAAATATGTAAATAAGTATAAAATGTTTTACAAACATTCTCCCTCTCCAAAAACGACTGTTTCTAAGAACAGCTGAAAGTAAAAGTGTAAAGGATAAACATGAAAATATTGATATGCTAATAAAGAACTAAGTAAGAATAACATATGGATTGGCAAATAGGTGCTGGGCATACTTTGACCACAGGACATTATTGAATGCCATCTGAGACTGTGAAATTGTGCTCAGATTAATACCGCGTACAATGTCATCAGTTAAAAAGAAGACTGTCAAAGAAGACTGTCGACCTACTAAACTAGGAAGACTCTGTCAAACAGAATACCGTTGGCCTCTTTTTCCAGAAGAATTCCGTGAAGTGCGAAAAACAAGAAGAAAACCAGCATCGAAATCTTGACGTGGTGTCGCATTTCAGAAGAAAGTCTTCGACAACAGCCGAAAAGTAATAATGTTTTGACGAGCTCCATGGTGGGAAGGTAAAAATTGTAACAATTGTGCCGGTGATAAAACACGACTAGCAAAATCAGAGGGGTTTTGATTAGAAGGCACATAATGCCAAATAGAGCGTTGTATGAGTTGTTGCACTCGTTGACTCGTTGACAAAAGTGACTAGATCAGCTCCGATCTTGCGATAGATGATCTTATGTAGAAATATCATTAGAAATGTAACACATACAAGTACAGAGGTCAGTTGTATCTGTTCAGATGTTTGATCTTTCCGGAGTATATTAAATTGATTTGACCGATTTTCCAACGAATAACCCGCTTTGAACAAGTTTTGTGAAAAGGACGAGAAGAATAAGAAAAGAACATACAAAAGTTAAAGCACTTCACAATTGTATTTTGGTATAAAAACATAATATAGTTAAAATTTTTAAAAAGTATCTTTAAAATTTATGTTGATGACATTGGACATCCAATTTAGGTTTAGTTTACTCATTCCTTTTCTTTCTCCATCAATTTTCTGGTGTTATATATTGCCATAAACCATATTCTTTGCCGTTGTCGTTTGTATAGGTAGCCTGGTCCACTCCGGAGATTCTTAGCACATTCTGTCCCTCTACCTTCGTGACTGCTGGCATAGCCTAGTTTCAAGGGACTGCCGGAGATTGAGGGCCTTGCGTCTTCATCGTTTCTCATTTTACAGGGGATTTATGGCTGTTTCTTTACCACACTGACCTGTTTTTTATCTTTAGGTATAGTTAATTTAAAAATTACGACAGTGTGGATAATTAACGTTTGCTTAAACTGAAGCTTTTTGGATAGTTAATTATTCAACGTAGTTATTTTGTGCCTGTTTTGTGTAAACTTAGAGGACGCTAGTTAAATGAATTAAAATAATATCGAAGAAATGCAATATTTAGATTGTGAAAAAACTACTGAATAAACCACTAATTTATTAAAAATCCCGAAAAATAACCGGCTTAACTCAATGCTGTTATGCTGTTATGATATTAAGAAAAAAACATTTACCTTGGAAATATGGTGTATTAATTGTAGCAAGCGGAATAAAGTAATGTCCGAACGTCGCGACGCCAGATAATTTAAAAAGTATATAAATTTTAACATTCTGACACCATCTTAGGCATATTCATGAAGACATTCCAAAGGTCAACTAGAAGTGGAGGTAGCAGTGCAAATCATTTATTTTGTGTAGAATGTACATATTTAACGGAACCGTTAGAAAAATGCTCTTAGTGACAGTGATTAAAGGTTAAAAATCATGTTCTTATATTTGTACATCGTTTCGAATATGTAAATTGCTGGACCACAAAAAATATTTTATAATTTTTTTGAATATTAACTTTTAAAAATAATTTTCAGCTGTATTTACATAATTTTTACAATAACACATAAAGGTTGGGTACTCTTTACTGGACTCTAAGAGTAGTTCTAAGATCATCAAATGCAGTACACGATGCGCTGACAATAAAATAAAGTTTTTCGCTGCAGAGAGTGAAAAAATCTGGATTTAGACATTTCCATGTGTTTGTTAACTTTATAGTAGATGGCTGTTACATTTACCGAAAAAATGTACACTATAATGTAATAAATTAAAAAGATGTTACATTTATAAGACCACCTAGGGTGGGCCGAAAAAATATTTTTTTGTCCGATCGAAACGGTGGTAAGTTTTTAAAGGTGCATTTGGGGTCTAAAAGAAAACTAAAAATTATTTTTGCTGAAAAAAAAATATCTTCAGTCTGCGCAGTTGACTTAAAATTTCAGTTTTTTTTTGGTAAAAAGTAACTTTTTGGAAATAATTTTGTACACATTAAGAAATGAGATGACTGGGTAGTTGTTAACACTAATAGAATAACCTCACTCAGGTTCATTTGTCTTATGTAACATCTTCAGTGTGTGAAAGTACCACCATTTTGTGTGAAAATTTAATATTTATATCGGTCGCCTTTTTAAAGGGATTAGTCGTAGATATACTTAAAAGATCAAAAATAGTTGCGTTCAAGTTAGGTAAATTACATTAAAACAATATAGAATTGAAATCAGATAGCGGTTGTCAGTACGGGGGCTTGTCGAGGCGGTGCGCTTAGTCCCCCCCCCCACTACCTTTTTCCACCTAAGCAGACAAGTTGAGATCTGTATTGTCGAGTCGAGACCTGTCGGCAGCAACCTACTTCGCATTCGTAGTTCACAGTAGTACACATTTGTGTTGCGGAAAGGTTGTGTCTGTATTGTCAGTGCATTGTGCATTTTTATCTGCTAGGCTTAGTTAAGCACCAGACCAGAGGTCTGGGACCAGAGATCGTGACAATCGAATTATAGGGAGTGACAAACAATTTGGTGATACAATGTTACCGACCATAATTGATGTTATGAGACACTATAACTATGTGTAGCACGGTCTTCAACCTAAGGAAAACAGTAAGAATCCAGATTTTTCTCGCGTAGCTGAAGAAACGTTGGACAAAATTTAATTGATCCGGCATAAAGCTTCAATACCTATGATATTTTAAAAAACTATGAGAGATATGTTGAAAAGAAGCTTAAATGAAATAAAAGCTCTAAATAAATCTTTCGAAAGGGATCAACATAAGCAAACATTATCTTCTCATCTTAGCAAGTTTTTGGAAAAGTCTGGCAAGTTATTTGATGTGTGCACTTGTAAATGTAGTGACTTAAACTCTTGTATTGTGTTCGTGAGAAAATGGTCCCTGTAATATAGACCTAAAAAGTACGGCACAAAATAAAAAAAAATTATAAGAAAAGAGAAATAAATCATGAAGAGACAGGAAAAGCAAGAAAAAGAAAAGAAAGAAGTTGACGACAACTTAGACTTCCATCATGATACAGACGAAACCGTTTTGCTACAAATCTTTTCTCAAAATAATGATTATTATTTATTATATTAAATTATATTAAATATTTATTATATTAAATAATGAAAGAGTAAAGATTCGTAAGGAAATTTTATACGAAGCATAGATGAAACCAATTTATTGCAAGCGCTTTATTTTGATGGAAGAATTGACAGGACCTATTTCATTGAAACTAGTGAAGACGGGAAAATCATGTCCATCAAAAAGATCATTTATTTATTATTCAAGAACCAGGATCAAAATATGTAGGGCACGTCAAACCATTATCAGGGAAAGCTGTGGACATAGCTAATTCAATCATGCAGTTTATGTCAGATAAACAAATTAGTTTGTCGGAACTGGTTTGTGTTGGATGTGATGGATGTCCAACTAACATGGCAAAAGTAATGGTGTTATAAAAATACTGGAAACTAAACTTGACAAACCTTTACAATGGGTGGTGTGTCAGTTAAACACCAATGAACTTCCACTGAGACATCTTTTTGAATTTTTAGATGGTCAATCATCTGGCCCTCATGGCTTTAGCGGTTTAATTGGCAAAGCGTTAGCTGACTGCCACAAACAAACTCCAACTAAGTTTGAACCGATAATAAGCCCAGTTGAAGTGCTGTTTCCAGATTTAAACAAAGTAGATTTGAGTATGGATCAGAAATATTTATATGACATATGCAAAATAGTTACTAAAGGAGAATCACCACCAGGATTTGGGGATAGAAGTCCTGGAAAGTTGAATCATGCACGGTGGGTGACAACTGCCAATCGTGTACTCCGATTGTACATTGCATCTAGTTCACCATCAGATCAGTTGAAAGATTTAGCCAAATATGTTGCCTTAGTTTATGCTCCAAGCTGGTTCACTATCAAATGCAATCACAAACTGAAGGATGGTTCAAGCAACCTTTGGAAAATGCTGGACTTTTCATCATATATGTCACACGAACAAAAGAAAGTGATTCATAAGTGCATTCAAAATAATGCATACTTCGCACACCCCGAAAATATGCTTGTGGCAATGCTCTCCGATGACAGGAACACATTCGTCAGCTTGCGATCAGACGAATATTAAAAGCCAGAAGAAAAAACGACAGAGAAAGAGTTCGACTTTTTGAAATTCCTAAAATAAATTTTTCTGCCAAAGAATACATAGATTTAATTGAATGGCAGTTTATGGGTGTAACTGAGCCCCCTGTTACCATGCATCTATCAGAAGAGGACCTCAACAGAATATTGGTTGACGGCGTGTCAGATATTCTTGCAGAAGTTGTGCTGGGAAAATTACCGACACATACTCAAGCTGTCGAAAGAGTAGTAAAAGAAGTCACACGATCAGCACTACAAGTGTGCGATGAAAAGAAAAGGGATGAAATAATCAGAACTAGACTATTTGACAGAGCAATACGGCCTAAGTTTGACTCTAAGACAGAGTTCAAAGCCTAAGCAAACAAAACAACGTGCTCTCATGGTTGGGTGGAAGGGTATACCATGACATTAAGAAATAGATAATTGAATCATGAACAGCCAATTCAAACTACCAGCTAGAAGGCTATATATCTGGAGGTCTCCCGCCGATAGCCCGCAACAAATAATTAGAAATCAAATAGATTATTTTCTAATAATCAAAAGGTTTCATAATGCGGTTACTTCAATAAAAACCTATTCTGGAGCAGATATTAGCTCCGACAATAACTTACTGCTTGCTGAACTGAGAGTTAGGATGAAAAAACTCGAAAGTCGTGCGTTATAAGAACGGAAAACGTACAAAAACTGAAACAAAGCAACGTAAAACAACAAATTCAAGAAGAAATAAACACAAAATTTAACGACATTGCAACACACAATAGAAAAGATATTGATACAATGAGGAACGGGATCAAAGAAATATGTATTAGCAATAACAACAATAAACAGCATCAAACAGGAAAGAGAAATAAAGCAACCATGGATGATACATCAGATACTAGAGCTTATGGAGCAAAGAAGAAAGTTTAAGAATAAAGACGCAAAAAAGTACAAGGAACACCAAAAGAAGGTACTTAAAGAAATAAAATTAGCAAAAGAATCCTAGCTGTTAGAGAAATGCTTAGAAATAGAGATCATATAGAAAAAACATGTTATATTCAATATGCACAGGAAGATCAAAGAAATGGCAGAAATATAAAGAAAAACAACGCCCACTTCACTGTTTGATAAAGATGAAAACATACTATTCAATACGCAAGAAAAACTGGACAGATGACAGGAATATATAGCAGAATTGTTCAGTGACAACTAACATATTGAAGTATATGACAACGGCGAGAATCGACCAACAATAACAAATTCAGAAGTAAGATCTGCTATAAGTCGTCTAAAAAACAACAAAGCGCCAGGACGCGATGGAATATAATATGCTGAGGTATTAAAATTTATAGAAGACAATCAACTTGACATTATGACAGAATTATTAAACCGTATAATATATGAAACAGGAACTTTAAAACAGATTAGTGTACATATGTCCATATTTATACCACTGCCAAAAAAGCAAATACTAAGAAATGTGAAGAACACCGAATCATTCGCCTCATGAACCACTCACTCAAAATATTCTTAAACATCATTTATGCTCGCATATAGAAGAAATTGGAGGAGGGTATTGCTGATGTAAAATTTGGATTTCGCAGCGATCTTGGCACAAGAGAAGCAGTTTTTAGCATACAAGTATTGATACAAAAGATGTTAATACATATGTCTTTGCCTGTTTCATTGACTTCGAAAAGGCATTTGACGAATTACAGTATGAGAATCTTATTAAAACTTTGCGAGTCGCAAACATCGATGACAAGGATATAAAAATAATAGCCAATCTCTATAGAAAACAAGTAGCTTTAGGTGTAACGACTGATGGCGTGATTCTTAACGGTGAAGTAATAAATAATCTAAGATATGCAGACGACACTGCCCTTGTTGCGGATAGTGCTGAAGGATTACAAATACTGATAGATCAAGTAGTTAACATCGGTAAAAAATATAGAATGAAACTTAATAATAAAAAGACGAAAATTATGATTATAAGCAAAATTCAAAATACAGATGCAAAGTTTATGGCAGACAATGAGGTATTGGATATAACAGAAAAAACACATACCTAGGATGCAACAGCACAGACAGCTGGGGTCACTTATACGAGATTAAATGTAAGATCGAAAAAGCAAGAAGTGCCTTCCAACAGATGAAGAAAGGTCTCTGCAATTTAACCTTGAACTTACATCTCCGACTCAAAATCCTTAATTATGTGTTTTCTGTTCTTATGTATGGAGCAGAGGCATGGACACTCACTAATGAATCTTGCAGACGGTTGCAGTCTTTTGAGCTGTGGTGCTATCGTCGCATGCTGAGAATAGCATATGTACATCATATAACTAAACGACGCAGTAATGCAAAGTTTACAAAAAGAATATCCGAATATCCTGGCTTAAGAATTTGAGACAGTGGACAGGTATAACTACCACAGCCTATTTCTAACAGCTGCTAATAAAATACGATGGACCATTGTGGTAGCCCACATCCATAGAGGATAGGCACTAGTAGAAGAAGATACTATGACAGCTCAAATGTAAGACATTTAATTGCCCTTTGTGTTTTTACGATGTCTCTAGATTGTTTTTATTCAATACACTTAACCAGTTTTATACGAATTGCTATAAATATTTGAACGATAAATACTTATATAAATATTTTATATATTAATTCGTTTTATTAAAACAATTTGTACACTATACATCAAATATTTAGGTTTAAGTGCAACATCAAAAATAGCTTAATAACATAATTTAAACCTTTATAAAAATAAGCAAAAATCTTGGGTAGTTTTATCCTAAATAATCTACAAACAATCAGGATAAACGGTAAACTCATCTTAAATAAGTCGGGAGCCTTCTTACCTACGAGTTTATTCTCTTAATCCCTAGACCTAAAGATTTAATTCTCGATTCCAGTTTACTCTGGAAAATAAATTTAATCTTGCACGTTATACTGATGAGATCGACGTAATATCTCTTTAAGCTTTCCTCATTTAAATTTTGTTTGTGCCCTAAAAGCGACATAAATTAGAGATAAAAACCTCTGAATTTACTCCAGTGTATCTTAGAAGTTGAAACCCTTCGAAATAAAGTTATTACTGCCCATGAAAATCGGTTGCAGGAAACTTAGAAAGAAAAGGTTCTTCGGGTATCCAGACCACACGTCCATACCCTCAGGCCTATAAAACTTTTAGGTCCTCTCACGAGATAGTCGACACTTGTCCTTTTATTTAGAAAGAAATAAAATCTGGGAATGCTCCTCAACATATTCTTTACGTAGGGTAAAAGTCTGTTTCGAATTTATGGCTAATATTATTTTCTTTTTATAAGGGTTATTACAGGACAATCATGGTATCATTAGGGCTATAAGACCCTTTTTATTTACGCATTACATATCTCACTATATAAAAACAAGTACCCGAAAAAATTATTTTGTGAAATTGGGAACAATTTTTATATTGTGACAATTTGTAACAAAAATTATATAAAGGATAATTTACCATTTTCGGCAATAATACTTTTAAAGAAAACTCAGATTAAAAGTCTATTTAAAACGATTTTTATAATAGAAATAAATAACGGCGCAATTTCAATATTCTGTCGTCTGTAAACTTCTGTTTTCGTATGGAAACACTAATCAGCTACGGCAAGAAATAATGAAATATACATCATTTATTCTAAAATCTATCCAGTAGTTCTTCTTCGTCTAGCCATTCACGTCCACATCTGAACATAAGCCTCTTCAAGTCTTCCTTTCCATTGGTTTTTATTGTACGCTACTTGTAGCCAATTTTTCCCGGCAGTCCTTTTCAGATCATCTGTCCATCTCATAGGAGGTCTGCCTCTGGGTCTTTTGTGTTGGTATGGTCTCCAGGTTAAAATTGATCTGTGCCATTTGTTTAGATCGCTCCTAGCTACATGTCCAGCGTATTCCCATTTCAGCTTTAATGCTTTTTGCACCACATCGGTGACTTTGGTTTTCTGTCTTATCCATGTGTTTGTTTTCTTGTCCTTAAGTGATATACCTAGCAGTGCTCTTTCCATCGCGTGTTGAGTGACTCTAAGTATATTCATATTCTTTTTTGTGATTGTCCATGTTTGTGCCGCATAAGTTAATATCGGAATAATGCATGCATCAAAAACTTTAGATCTAAGATGTAATTGAATTTGTTGATTTCTGAGTACATAGTTCAGTTTACCGAATGTTGCCCAAGCTAACTTTCTTCTTCTTTTTATTTCTTCAGTCTGAATTTCCCTATTTAGGATTATTTTTTGTCCCAAGTATATATATTCTTCAACTTTTTCTATAACTTTATCGTTTATTATTGTCACGGTGTCTTCGGAGTGCATGACTTTTGTTTTGTTTAAATTCATTTTCAGTCCTATTTTAGAAGATTCGGTATGAAGTTCTACAAGCATGGTTTGCATTTCTTGTAGGTCAGTAGCTATCAGGATTATGTCATCTGCAAATCGTAGATTACTGAGGTAGCGGCCATTGATGTTTATTCCCTTATATTTCCAATTTAGGTTTTTAAAAACGTCCTCCAAAACTAAGGTGAACAGTTTGGGTGATAAAGTATCTCCCTGTTTGACTCCCCTGTTTAATGGTACAGGGTTTGTGTGTTCATTTTCATTTAGGTAGTATGTAGCTGTAGCTTGGTTCATAGTTTCTTTTATTAAGTTAATATATCTGCTGTCTATTCTACAATTTTGCATTGCGTTTATTACGGCCGTGTGTTCTATGGTATCGAAAGCTTTTTCGTAGTCTACAAATGCAAGGAAAACTGGAAACTTGTATTCGTTACATTTTTCTATTAATATTTTTGTGGTTAACAGGTAATCGGAAGTTGAATAGCCTTTTCTAAAACCTGCCTGTTCATATGGTTGGTATTCGTCTAATTTCCTTGTTAGTCGAGTAGTTATGACTTTGGTGAGTATTTTAAACAGGTGTGACAGTAGGCTGATGGGTCTGTAGTTTTCCAATTTTCGACTATCCCCTTTCTTG